CCATCCCCCCTCCTAGTACCAACCATGATTGAAATAAGCATACGAACAGCAAAGAGAGACTGAAACATCAGGACAAAATGGACACTGAAACAGAAAAGACCGACATAAAAACAGGGAGGAACTCCATGGCACTGCCAACAAGTGAATAAAGACAAAAGTACAATGAAATATTAAGAACTGTTGTCAGTGCACTCCCAAACTCATGAGTTGAATCTCTACAGTTTTTAGTGAAATCTCGTTGTATGCAGATGACACGACTCTTTTTCTCACCAAATTGGAAAACTATAGATCAGTAAGCCGCAAACTGAATCCATTATAATCCTGACATTGTCTTGAATTGTTAAATTCCAGAGTCATTCCTCTTCTTTAATTGGATCAGTATTTCAAATTATAGTCCCAGACTTCATGTTGTTCTTTGCATCTTCCTTCCAAAATGCCAGACGTTCTTGTAATCTTTTAAACACTGCCTTTCTGAAGGACTGTAAAACTTTGAGCACTACTTTTCAGTCCAGTCCTTGGACCATTAAAGGAAGTATCTGAGCAGGCTGTGACTATTGGGGAACAGCTGAGATGCAACATTACAAAATAATATATAAATTTGTAACTTGGAGCCACAATAAATGAGAATATTTGGGCCAAAATTAGCTGGAGTTAGCAGGCAGGTTGTTCAAGGGAAAGCCTTGAACAAATTCATATCTTCAGCACATAAATTGTGTCTGACAGTCGAATTTTTAGCAAACTGAAAAAACTTCAGAAAAAATCCTCGCCTGTCAGTTGTTCATCGGAGTTTGTAAATGGTAAATGGACTGTACTTATACAGCACCTTTCTATCTTATTTCAAGATACTCAAAGCTCTTTACAACAATCTGTGCCTCATTTACCCATTCATACAGCTCTATACTAGATCTCTACAAAGCTAATTGAACAAATCATTCTAAAGAGACTAATCAGAGCTTTATCACATTCAAACACCGATGGGACACACATTGGAGGCTATGAGGGGTTCAGTGTCTTGCCCAGGGACACTTAGGCATGTGACGGCTGGTGGATTCAAACCCCCAACTCTCGCATTGGAGGACGACTGCTCTAACCACTCAGCCACAGCCACCAATATTGTAGCTAATAGCTCTTTGGGAATCAAACTGTTGGAACTAAAATCCCACTTCCTTCTGTCAAACTGTTATCTTTCGTATTTTCCATTGAGTCAACTCATGAAATGAGAACAAATAGTGTTTCTGTGACAAGCTGGTAACAAAGAACTTAAAGGTCCCGTTTCAAACTGTTTTTGTTGATCTTTTAGTTTAAGTCTCGCCACAGCTCTGGTTCATTCCTCGAGTTTAGAGGCTTTTTATGTCTGAATGGTTCACAGGACAGAGGTACGGCCAAATAAAAGGGTCTAGATCAAGACCACCTGAAAAAATTACAGGAAAGTCAGGTTGCTTGGAAGGAGAACATTAGAAACGAGGATTGGAGCAGGACTCTGGAAATTTGGAAAAAAAAGCAGAAGTAGAGGATGAACGTCAAGATCCAAAAATGACTCAACTGATTGGGTTGGAAGTAGACTGAAATCTGCTTTGACACAAACAGCACATCAGTCAAAACCAAGGACAGAGACTGCCAACAGCTGGAGCTACAGCGCTGAGGTGAAACACAAACACTGTCTGGGGGGGGGGGGGGGGGGACAAGACTGATGCAAGAAAGGAGAAACAAGGTGACCAGACAGAACAGGAGGAGGATGGAGTGAACAGAGGAGGTGATGACCAAGAGCGAGG